CCCAGCGCTGGTTACTGAGGGTGTATCCCACCAGCAGGACAAATGTCAGCGCAGGAGATCCTGCTGCTGCCTGCATTTTAATTGGAAATGAGGAAATATCCCATCCTTGTTCATTTATCCTGTCTGGCCCGGCTTTCCCCATCTCTCTGGAATGGCTTGCTCCTTGTGCTCCCCACAGTCTCACATTGCTCTGGGAGCATCACGAGCAGGAGACAAAGTTCTGATTTTAACTTTTTTGCAGTTCCCCCCTCTGTCTCTCTTGTTCTGTGTCTCCATCTCCATGTTTAAAACTGGGAACTGTGTACCTGGAAGTCTTTTACAATCCCAACACACTCTCTAGTTTTCAGCTTGAAAATACCCCAAATTTGAAGAGTTTTAAATCCACCTTTCCACAGTTTTGGCACAACATAAATAACTTTATGAGCATGATACTTCTTGACTTTGTTCTTTCCTCCTTTCTGGTTCGAGGGCTGTGAACCTGCTCTTGGTTGCATTTGATTGTGTGATTGAAAATGAGTGGTTTAGCCATGGAGACCCAGCCTGGAATAGAGCAAAACAGACTCCTGTAAAAGTGGAAGCTGCTCTCACTTGGCTGATCAGGAGCAAATACATGGATTACTCCTGGACTTCCTTCTCATGGACTTTAAAGCTTGTTTGACAGGTCATCCATCTCTTCCTACTCTTTGGGCTCAGCTCTATCTCCCAGCAAGGCAGGGAGATGAGAACCAGGCTGGGCAGGGATACCTGGAACCACCTGCAGTTCTCTCCTTTCACCTCCTGGTCTTAGTGTGATGTGAAGTGCAGACACGACTGACAGCATAGCCAGGCTGAGGTAAAACTCTTTTTTTTTTTAATTTTTTATCTTATATTTTATTTTATATTTTATTTTATATTTTATTTTATATTTTATTTCTTATTTTTATTTTTATTTTTATTTTTATTTTTATTTTATTTTTATTTTATATATTTTATTTTATTTTAGTGTGTTTCTGAAAAAATCTGCAAGGATTCATCTCACTGCTGCCTGCCTGAGATGGCGTTTTCTGTATTTTGAGCATATTCTGTAATACTGTAAATCTTTACCCATGTTAAAAGTATTGAAATGTATCCACTGTGCTCTCCAAAAATCAGGTGATGCACTGGATTTTTAATTTTTTGTTTCTGTTTACCTTGAGCGGCTGCCACTGTGCTATTAAGACTTTTGCATTTCACAAAACATTCCCAAGGGGACTAAGCTGGGAGTTAAGTGACCAACTTGCTTCTGACTTCTGCTGATTTGTTTAATCCATATGCCAAATATTAGCAGAAATAAGGACATATCAATTAGTATTGATCTGTCCTTACAAAGCATTTTGGAATATTCAGGGCAAATACTTAAGCTAAGCACAATTTTGTTCCCTCTCTCTTCCTTCATTTGTCCTTTCCTAATTAACCAGTGTAAGCCTGGGCTCCACCCACGGGAAGCTTTGGCTGATATCAATGCATTGTGCTCTCCATAGCCTGCAGTGTTTCTGCTTTTGTTGGCCTTGTTTGGTTTTGGTCTTGTTTGCTTGGAAAGGTAAAAATTCTGTTTGGGAGGAGACTTAGCTGCAAAAAGGAAAATTGCTCATGACAGGTGTAAGTAACCGAGCCTGTATCTGTAATTCTCATTTACTGGAAAATGGAAAAATGCAGCTGCAGTGAAAAGTGGGAAAAGGCCAGCAACTGCTGTTTCTTTCAGTTCCTGGTCACCAGAGACTTTTGGCTGGTACATCAACTATTGAGCATTGCAGGATGAAAAAATGCATTTTGTGTTAAAATTGTGCTCCTTTATCATTGCCCAGGAGACTCAAACAGATCTTGATGCATATCCAAAATCCTGAATTAAAGAACAAATGTTCTGGGGGGGTTTCTGTGGGTTCTTCTTGCCGCAAGTGCTCCTTTGGGCATCGTTGCTGTTGTGCACTTTGTTCTGTGCCCTGATGGGCCAGCTGGAGAATTTAGGAGGGTGAGGTGAAAACATTATCAAGATCCAACCCTTCAGCTTTGCTGCTCCCTCTGCGTGCTTGCTGGAGCTGATTGGAGGCAATAAAACACCACTCAGGGCAAGAACCCTCATCCTTTTCAGTTTGGGGTGGCTGAGATGGGAACAGTGAGGGAGGAAGTTTTCAAAGCCTTCCCTCTGCATCCAGGGCAGCCTGAGCTGAGGGGCTCACTAACACTTGGGAGGATGCAGAGCACACCAAGCTCTGCAGGGCTGACAGCAACTTTTCCTCTTCAAACCTCAGAGTTACTGGGTGACTTTCAACTCCTGCTGTGCTGCTGAAAGCCCACAAAGCTACTCTGCCCTTTGGGATCTTCAATCCTGAGGAAAACTGGGATTTCGTCATGCCTGGAGTGTGAGAGGTGGTACCTCAACATTTCAGGATGCTTGGCTGAGACTCATTCACCAGGAGCAGGAGCTTGGAGCACAAGCTTGGAACAGAACTTAAAATTCTGGATCTGCTCTGAGGACAGGGCTGTGTCTAGAGCAGCCCAGCTGAATTTCATGATGGATTTTGATGCTTTAAATTGTGAGTGACACGTGGAAGGAACAGGCTGGGTTCTGTCTAGGGTATGTATTCATTCCTTTGCATCGGCACTGGCATTCAATTTTTGGCAAAAAGCTTTGGTCAAGAAACCAATCCTGCTACAAGAGCAAACCCAGCTTCATAAAACCAGCCCAGGTCTCCACAGAGCCTGGCCAGGGCTGAGTGTGGCATGAGGGCAATGAGCAGAATGCCCTCTTGGTAGCAGCCTAATTTTGGGGTGGTTTAAAGCCATCAGGGATCAGCAAGCACTGCCAGAACCCTCATCAGATGATTTGGATCACTTGGGAAGGATTTGCCTGGTGGTTTTTGGCTGTCAGTTTGCCTTTGGTAGAGAAACAGGCACCTGTCAGCACTGTTTTTATTAATAGATGGAATCGCATAGGTTCAAAATTATACTGGCTTTTGGCTTTTGTCTCTGACCTTTTTATAAATACTTATTTTCTAAATTTTCAGACAACAACAATCTGCTCCCCCAAAAAGGCTGGTTGGGTGACTGAAAAATCGTGGATATGATTTTTTCTGGAAAATGAATTGATAGCACAGCGAGCAATGCCAACTTTTTGTTTGTAGGTCTTTTTTTGCAGTTTTTACCCAAACCTAGCTATAATTCTGAACTAGAAGACCAGGATTAACTAGGATTCACGTGGGAATATTGAGCTGAAATCTTGTAGTTTGTCTTTTGCTAGTCAGGTATATTTATCAGTGACCTCTGATGGTCCAAAAAAAGTACATGAATCCCAAACCCATGAATCCCAAGTGAAGGTGTAGCATGGTTTGGCTTCGATATGTGACTTTATTTGCACAGAGGGAGAGAGAAAAAACATGGTTGGGAATTGCAGAGGTATTTAATGTTGTGATTTTAAGAACTGAGAATCCTTAATTCCCTCAGCTTTTCAATTTATTGGTCTTTGAAGTAACATGAAGGTTCTGACTAAAAAAGGTGAATGCCAAGCTGTCCTCCCTCAATGTGAGGGTGGATGGTGGCTTTTAAAGCATAATAAAACTGAGGTGAGTGTTTTGCTGGTGCCATTCAGGATCTTTCATAAGCTTTTGGGGAAAAGGCAGGGAATAATGGGCTTACCTTGAGAATTAGATTTGATTTTTTGGTTGTTGTTGTTACAGCAAACTTGGAGTAATTGGAATTATAATAGATTAAAACTGCTGAAAAATAAGTTTGTTGGAAAATCAAAATTCCTGCTCAACTATCCAAACATAAATGCATTAATTCCATGTTAAAACTAATCTGTTTTCAGTTAAGAACAATTGTATTCAGAAGAATAGTGCATGAATTATAAGATTTATGAAGTCTCATATTTCAAGACATTGTGTCTTGTTTAGAATATGACACCATGAATTTTATTGAGCTTAGAGGTTTTCCAGTTTTCCTGCAGTGACCTTGCAAACTGTTAGGATGTGACCCTCGAAAGCACAGCTCATTGTATTTAAAAAAACCAAAGCACACACAAAAAAAAAAGCCAAACCCCAAAAAACCAATCCCATTTAAATCTTGGGTTTTTTTCTACTGATTTCTACAGCGCTGAGCACACTTTGGTTTTACGAGCATTTCATTCTCCCAGTGCACAGCAAAAGCAGGGACAGCCCAGGCTGACTAACATTGATTAATGTTTTATTAATCTGCCATTATTTTGGGGCCAGCAGGAACAGGCTCTGCCTGCTAAAACAGTTTGGGACAGTTAGTGATTCCATGGCTTTGTTTTTCTCGCTGCAAAGTTTTGGGACACAGAGCCAGCTCTGCACTGGGATTCAGAGCAAAGGAGAGCAGTGGTGCTGTGGTGGATTTGACCCTTGCCTGTGGTCTGTTGGAAGCTGGGTTGGTGATTTTGCTGCTGGTTGTCTTCATCGTTTTGTGTCTCCCCTGTCTGCTTGGATTTTGGCAAGGGCCCTGCAAAGTCCTTTGCAGTTGTGTTTGTGGCTAAAATACAAAAAAAAGGGGAATTGTGGAGGAGGTTTTACAGTGACTGCTGTGAGCCAGAGAGAAGTTTGATAAGAGGATCCATGTTACTCCAAAAGAATTTCCTACCAAGGTCATTGACAAAGAAACCAAGAAAGAAAGAAGGATAAATAGAGAAACCTGCAAGTGCCTATTCCAATGAGCACTGTGTTTGTTTCTTGTGACCGAACTGTAAACTTAGGAGTTTTGTGAGAAAGTATACAATTTGGATTGTTTCTCCATCTGCCCATTGTTTCTCCATCTTCCATTCCACATCAGTGGCTCGTGTATCATCACTCATAACCACAGGGATTGTTTATTCTTGTTTTAATGCCCTCCTGTTGTGGTGGGTGAGCTCAGAGCTCTGCTGTACATGGAACTGGTTTAGGGATCTGGAGGGTTTGTTTTGTCCCTGTAAAATATAAATGAATCCCAGAAGAAAAGCAGCTTTAAAAAAGTTTTTGATTAGTGCTGGAATCATGTTGGTCACACGGGTTTCAGAAGTGGCAGAAATGGAGATTACCTCAGGACTAGTAGGAAAACTGCACCCAATAATTTCTGCATCTGTGCCAGAAAAAGACCCAAACCAACTGCAATTCAAAGTTTCTACGACAGGGTTTATATTCAATTCTTATAAAACTGCATATTCAGAATAAAAGCAGGGGTTTGTTATCCTTTGACTGGCAGGGGAAAGTATGAAAAACTAGAATTGCATAAACACATAAATGATTGTTAAGCTGGTCACTGATAGTGGATTGGGGGGATAGTTATTGGGAAGCCTTTGGCCAAAAAATAAAACACTGAGCATGCTGCCAACAACATTATAAACTTGTGGTGTGTTTCTCAGGTCTGTAATATTGGCTAAGTATAAAGTTTGCAGGCAGTATAAAGTTTTGCCTCCTCAAAAAGCTGTAGAAATTGTTGGGGCAAATAGCACCTGATATTCACTCCATGTGAGCTCTATTTCCATGTGTAGATCTGCCTGGGTAAGTTGCTAGCAAAGCATGCCATGGTAATTTCATTTTGCCTCAAAAATAAAAGTTCCAGAGAGGTTTCAATATTTTACAGCAAAGGCTTCAGTGACGATGTGTGGAAGAACCATGCTCTATTAAATTTGGTGTGTTGGGTTGGAAATGGAGGTGTGTGTTCTGTTTTCATCTGTCAGAGCTGGGGCAGTTCTCTGCTGTCCATGGGGAAGTTTTTTCTTTATCTCTCCCACGGCCAATCCTCCCTCCAGGAGATCTCTGCTGTTAATGGGCCATTCATTAATAATTATCTTTGGTTAATGGCCACTGAGTGTCCCTGCATGGCTGATCCAATCCCAGCATCCCATGGGGAGATGCTCCACCCAGGGGAGGAGCCAAGCATTCCTACCTGGATCCAATCTGAGGTTTGGGACACCCCAGCAGCCTTTGCCCCCTGCATTGCCAGAGGAGCAGCTTTCTGCTGCCCTGCACGGCCAGAGGGAGCCCAGGCCCATCTGCAGCAGCCCTGGAGCTGCAGAGGAAAACTCCCCCCTTGTGCAGGATCCCTGCTGCAGCAGAGCCACAGCTGGCACTGTAAACAAAGTAAACAAATTCACTGTAAACTGGGAGGTTTGGATGTAGGAATTCTTTCAAAAGTCCCCTATGGGGCAATACACTTAATGACATGATTCCTTTTTAATTATTGTATGGGTTGTAGGACAGGTTCCTGAGAGCAATTTTGCAATGTACCCCACTGCAATAATGCTTAGGGCTTTCTAACTTAAGAACACTTGATAAATTAATTAATGTTGGAAAGAATTGGATTACAGGAAGGAAAAAAAGTGGGATAAAGATTAAGTGATTGTTCCTCACTCCTTTTTTACACGTTCAAGCACTTCAGAGATGAACCCATGAGGAAATTAATCTCTCTCCCCTTCTTGACAGTCCTGACTGAACACCCCAAAAATGTGTGTCTTTACAGCTCTTTTAAAACCCATTGTCCCCTCTGTTGCAGGTTCTCAGTAAGGCACAAAAGACACCCCAACAAGCTCTTTAAGGCTTCCTCAGCCGTACAAGGGCTGGCTCCTGGGATTTTGCTGGGCTTTTTTTCCAGGTAGACCCCTTTTTGTCAAGGCAAGCCTGGGGGCTGGAGCCTTGCTGGTGTCATCTCCTAGGGATGGGATGTGCCTGCAGCTGGAGAGGGGGTGAGAAGAACAAACATTACAACAGAGGATTTATTTTATATTTATCCCTGGGAATATTCCCAGACCCCTCAGCATGCTGCTGTGCTGGTAACGAAGTCCCTGCAGTAATGCTTGTGGCCAATCCTCTGTCTTGGAGCATTTTATTTAATTTTATCTTTTCTCAGGATACAGCACTTACATGATTTCCTGTCAAAGCACTGCAGCATTTCACAGTCCCTTGGAGTGTTACTGACAGGTAGTTGTCAAAACTAAATTGAGAGCATTGTACATGCACTTTACCTCTTACTTGGACCTTTTCTTTTTCTTTTTTTTTTTTTTTAAGAATGATCCTTTTATGCAGCTAGCCGGTTAGCATGTTTATTGGAATTTTTCTTTTTTTTAAGTGGAAATTCACCAGTTGAAAGTATCAGAGATTCATATGCACTTCTTTGAAGTCACTCGCCATTTTTCTCAACTAAAACATGTTGGATCACTCATCTGACAACAACATGGGGACAAGTCATGCTCAGAAGTGCTTTTGTTTGCTTTTCCCAAAAGGCCCTCTGTAGTGAGGAGCAGTGTGTGACCATCAGGCACCACTGCCAAAGTCATGGAGCTGGAGATATAAATGGCAGGGGTGAGCTTTACTGAGAGTTATGAGAAACTGAATTGACATTTTCTTCTAGTTTGGGCTAATTTCCTTAAAGGGATTTGAAGACTGTGTCAAAACTTAAACAGAGAATTGAAAAACTGAGGGAAGGTTATTTAAGAGGTTTAGTCAATGGGAAGAGAAGAAAATGAGAGGAGAAAAATAAAATTTCCTATTAGAAGCCATCTTCAATTGATGATTCAAAGAAGGAACCCCCATAATGTCAGAGAAAAATGAAAAGGGTTTAGCTTCTGAAAAAGTGCTGCTCAGACTGAGTGGTGGGCTGTCAAAGCATGGTTCCTTCTGGTGGTGGCTACTCCAGAAATGCTTATTTCAACATCAGCATTCCCTGAACTTGCAAATTTGTTTTGATTCTAAGCCCTAGTTTATTGTAGGCACTGTGTCCCCAGAAAGCACTGGGAGTTGCCTCAGTGCCATTTCACATGGACAAAAATAAATTGTGAACATGAAACTGCAGTAATTTATTCTTCTTTTTCCTCCCCCTTCCCTATCCCTCCTTCATTAGATCTGAAAGTGAAAAGCCCCTCAGGTGAGCACATTACTTTCCCCCAATATATTTTATTTGCGTTAAAGCATAAAAAGCCCTCCCCAAAATAGCTGGAATTTATAAAGGAGGAAACCTTTTCAAAAACACTTTTGCCAGCTTTTGTTGGTCTTCCCAGGATGCTGCAGGTGCAATAATCTAATAAGTACTTGCCTCCTTAAATTTGTTTGTGTTTACAGGGTTGTTGATAAATGCTGCTCCCACTGGGTTACCTTGCAAGGAGAAGGAAGGGCAAGAGGAGATGATTTTTGTGGTTTCTGCTGACACTTGACCAAAGAGGAATGCTTCTGCTTCCTTTATTAAAGTAATTTTTAGCAGCACATTGAACTGTTGCAAAAGTGTCCTGCTGTAACATAACCAAGGGCATTATTTCACATGGGCTGCCATGAACACTTTTGTTATGCTCTGGGGTATCCATTTTTCCTCACTGAAAATTATTTCTAGTGAAATCTTCATGTCGCCAAGAGTTTCTTTAAGGTAAGAAATAAGCACTGCCATTTACAAAAAAATGAGAGTCCATTGGCAGGGCTTCATTCTTGCTCCCAGAGGATGGGGTTTAAAGCTGATTTACCAGAATTACAAATAAAAGAAAAGAGAAAACACAGCATCAGTCTGCCTGCAGAACCAAAGTGCAACTCAGCAACCCTGTCTCACAGTATCCTCCAGATGTTTGAGATTTTTGTGGAACAGCTGATTGCATATGTGTCAAACCTAATTCCTTCCATTATGATTTAACTGAACAGTTCTATCAAAACCATCAGTAAGCAGAGCAAACAGTGTCTTCCCCCAGAGAATATTCCCCATGCAAGTGTAGGTTTTGGTTGCATTTTTATGAATGGGAACTGATTTCTTCTTCCAGATTGTGTGTATGGACTCTATTTGTGCCAGAAGGGAATTACACATGGCTTTGTTTCTCCCCCTTTTTCTGTGACTATGATTCTTTATCAGTCTGCTCAAAGGATGACACGCTTGTGGGTGAGTTTTTGTCCCCTCGTTCTTTGAAACAATCATTCAGGCTGGAAAAGATTTTTGAGCTCTATAACCTGTCAGAGCACTCCTTATTCCAACAGCAAGGGCACCCAGTGAGGTGGTGGCTGATTGTTTCACTTGCTTGATCGATACATTGAGACACAGGATAAATAAAAGAAATAAAAGAAAAAGAGGTGGGAGGTGAAATGGTTGGAAAATGCCTGGTAGGGAACTGCATCACATTTCTGGTGTCAATGATTTTCAATTTTTAATAGCGTGAATCTATCTGGGCTAACGGATTAATAAGGAAAGTAGAAGGATGAATAGGAAATTTCCCTTTAATCCTAAAATTTGATAGCTAAGTATTAAAAATGGTACATGCAAGTTTTCTCAAGTAACTGAAGGCTTTGAACAGTGATTATTTTCTAATGTTATGTTTCAGGGAAATTCTGTGGAGGAGATCTTGCATTACCTCTTTTGATTGGCTCCAATAGCATAAGGCTGAAATTTGCTCCTAATGATGAGGATTGTGGAATTAGATTTTCCATTACCTACAAAGCTCTTACACCAGATATTCTTCCTGGTAAGTTTAAACCAAGTAATGTGCAAGATCAAGCAACATGAGCATGGATGATGCTGCTGGATGCAGGAAAGAGAAATCACTATCCATCCCAGATAGGTTTGGATTTGTCCTTTAGGTTAAGGTAAAATAGGATTTCCTGGGTTAAATTTCATCATGACAGATTCTTCTAGAAAATTTAATATTTATGTATCACCTGTGAGAGGTCTGAATGTCACAGAAACCAAACCTTGCAGGAATCACTCACAATCCTAAAGACCCTGCAGATCTTGGGATTTTTTCCATATGACTTTCAAAACAAGATTCACTCTTTCAATTTTAAATTTAAAGCTTACATACCAGTCTTTTGAAGTAGAAGAGAGTGAAGATTTGTCCTATGATGCCATGACTCTGTATGAAGATGTGGGAAAAGAAGAGGAAATTGGTTTGACTTTTGATTTTTTTATTTTGGGGATGTTCTATGTATTTTATGACTTTCACTAGCCCTATTGACCAAGGTAAATTTGCTTGTAGAGTCTCAGGTAATATTATAGTACTAGTTTCAGTACCTTGAAAAATGCTTGCAGGTCTTGCTAATTCTTCTCAACTTAGATAGGCAAAGCCACATTGAAGTGAACAATTTTTGAGTGTTTAAATTCTGTGTGAAATGCAGTTCTGAATTGGTTCCAGTGAAGAAAATACATAGCACAGTAATTTGGGTCTATAGGAACGATCACACACAAAGCACCCAAGACATCTTTTCAGAGTCTGTTCATCACTCCAGAACATCATTCATGTAATTTTTAATTTTTTTCCCCACTTGGCTTATAGTGAATGAGAGGAAATCCTATCCCAAAAAACTGTTCTCAGCACTTGCTTGAAGCTGGTGCTTAGATTAGGGAAAATCAGATAGCTGGGGTGTTTCGTTTGTAAGGAAGTTTGTGGGTGCTGTAACAGACTGTTGTGAAATGATGCCAGAGACTCCTTGTTCTGATGAGGAAACTTCTGAGCTGCCAGGAACAGGTCAGCCCTTCAGCCTCAGCCTGCCTATCTCTTCCTCATGGTTGCTTTTTACCTTCCTGTCTGGAATATACAGAAAACTGTGCACCCACTGTTGAAAGAGAGAAGGGTTAAAAAGCACCTGTTAATTATTTAGTGAGCCTTTGCTTCCTCATTTTTAGTTGAGTCTTGTGGATTTGCCCTACCAGCATGTGCTCCAAGCTCCTCTGCTGTGATGCTGGTTGTTTTCCACCCTGATGAGACAGAGACCTTTGCAGGATTCATCTAACAGGGAACAGAAAACTAAACAGAAACTTGGGAAAATGCCTCCTTGGGGCAGCACAAAGGCCTCTTCAGTGCACTGGATATTCAGAATTATTTTGCTCTAGGAGATTCTCATCTAACAAATTATTTCAGTGAAAAATAAAAGGACTGTGAACCTCTTCAGGTATTAAACAAAGACCTAATGAATGGTGAAGACAAACAATGAATCTGGCTAAAAGCTGGGAGTTGTGTTTGTGGCACACTTTAAATAGCACTTTAATGCTGTAATAGCACACAACCCTACAAGAGAAATCTGCTTCTTCTACAAAAACAAATAAGGAAATAAAAGTTATTCTATAATACAAATATTACTCAAGACACACTGACAACCCTCATTTGCTAGATTCAAATATTTTGAATTCAACTAAAGACGAAGATTTTGAAAACATGAATGTTGCTAAAGAAGAAATAAAGGTTATAACAGGTAAGACAACGTCAGTTATGCTTTCTTCATGGGAATAGAGAGTACCTTTTGGACTATAAATTCTCAAAATACCTAATGGTTGCAGTTGGTCCAGACTTTTTTAGTAAGATATTTTGAGGAAATAAAAATATGCACAGTGACATTTACATGCTTTGACTTTAGCAGAACCTAATTTTTCTTGTTTCCTTCAGATTGCTAAGTGATGTACAGCTACCCAATAACATTTCAGCTTGTATGTCAGTTTACACCTACTTCCCTCGGTGAAAACAATTGCAAAGACTACAGAGTAATTGAAAATAACAATCAGCATTTTAGAGCTGCCCTTTCCCCCTCTAGTAGTCTATAGAAAACTGGATGAGTCCCTGTTCATTGTAGGTTTGAGGCCAAAACTTCTGAAGGTAAATGCTAGCTTTCATCTTGGTGAAGCTCTGTTTTTGCTAGGATCATCTCCTCATTTTGGTCTAAACATTTGGATCCTATTAAATGAAAGAAAATGGAAGATTTAGTGAAAAAGGGAGCTTGAAAAGCTGTGGGGTTGCCCTTAACTGGAATGTTCTTTACTTCTCCCAGTGTTAACCTAACCTCTAAAGACTCCTTGGAACATCAGCGCTTTCTGTTTCAGGAGATGCTTGTGGAATGCCTTCAAATCAGCGCAGGTGCCTCTTCAGTGGGAAAACTGGAGGGGAAGAAGCTGTGCCCTCCTCGTGGCCTTTGCACACTTTACAATTTGCAGCCCAGCATGCAAATTGCAAATGAGCACATCTGTGGGGGAGCAGTCCTTGCCCAAGGATGGGCTGTCACAGCCGCGCGCTTTTTCAAAATACTTTTAATGCAGATTCCCAAATTCCCCATGATGAAGCAATCCAGCAGCCTGAACGCTGATCCTAATCTGCATTTACACAACAGCTTTTGGGTGCCTGTCAGCACAGATCTGTGCCTTCACTGGGCTCCAAAGCTCAGAATCCCAGAGGATGTGAGAGTGAGAGGGGCACAAGTTGCCACTTGGCTCGCACTGGATAAATGTTTTTTGCAAGGCTCTCTTCCTACCCTTGCTGGATAGAGTTTTCTGCATGTTCCCTGTTCCATGTCACAGATGCAAAATCTTGACTTGTTAATGTCAGAAAGCTGGTGTTTTCTGGAGCTGCTTTTAAATGTGTTCCCTTCTTAAGGCATCTTGGAAATTGATAAAACCAAAGTTACTTAAAGCCTCACACTCCCAAATCTCTCAGAAAATGTCAATGTCTTTGCTTTCCTAGAAAACGTCAATCAAGCAGAATTTTATACACCCAAACTTTAACTCTGACACTGCCCTGCTGCAACTGGCTGAGCTCTTGGAAGTCACACAATTCTGTGTGAATTGGAATTCACCCCCATCCAGGGAGGAGGTGCTGGAGCCCTCGAGGATGTGTGTGGTCACAGGGTGGGGTGCACCTGAAGCAGGTATGCAGTCTTTGCTGCTTGGGCATGTTGTGGCTGTGTTTTAAATACCACATTCTCTGCTGGAACAGTCCTTTTGTCTGTATGTTAGTTTTTGGAGAACAGGCATGTTAAAAAGTTTTCACTCTCTAGCTCAGTTTTATGAAGATCCTCTAGCAGAAATATGGGCTTTGGAGGGAAATACTCAGTTGCCAGGCTGCCCATTCAAGTTTTAGATTTGTTCAAAAGAAATAAATGGCTACACATATCCCGATCTAGACAACAACAACAACAAAAAAACTTTCCAGGAAAAACCAACAGGGTGAAAAAGGAGGGAGAAATAAATCTGTAATGAAGAAAACCATAAGGGGAAAAACGTGAAACCCACTTACACTAGAAATATTTTTCTGCTTGAACAATAGATGTTGGAGTGATATGGCATGTTAATCCTGCTTTCAGTTCATTAAAAAAAGTACTGAATTTCTTTATTTTTCAACCTGTAGCTCAAGGCAATTACTTCTCATATACTGCAGGGGAAATTTAGAGCTGGTCTTTAATACTGCATTATTTTAAACTACTTTGTAATATAAAGGTGTGTATTTATAAACACACGCATGTGAGGATGTGATTCTTATTTTCTTGTGTTTCTCTCAAGAAACATGAATTCCTTCTCTATCTGCTGTAGAACATTAGATTTCATTTTACGTATGTTTCCCACTCTGGATACAATTTTCCAGGTACTTTGTCTAAAAGTTAATATTATTGATATTTTTTGTTTCCAGGATTTTTTTTTTCTTTTGTAGCTATGTCAGCAACCAAAGAACAGATTTGTACAGGCTAATGGACAGCACAGCTGTATCTATTGCAAAATAGATATATGGGTGGGAGGAGAGAAATCAGGTAATTTAGATTGAGACCATTTGACAAGGAGAGGGGTAAAGCTTCCTTCTGGAACCACTCATTCATGCCTCTACTGGATGATGGCTTTTAACTCAAGACAGAGAAAAGGGGAAAAAACTGCAGCAGCTGGAAGTCCCCATCCTGGGGCCTGATATATTACATAAACCTTCCCAGGAAAGTGACCCTGGGCATGATCTGTGCAGGATTCTCTCTGCAGGAAGGCAAGGAGTTACCCTTGGGCCAGGTGAGTTCCAGAAAGGGAACCTGGGACCTCTCCTTGCTGGACTGAGATTTTAAAAACATCAGGAGTGATGTTGGCTCAGGACAAGGTTCCTTTGTCCTTGTGCAGGGTTGTGAAAAATGTGTATTTTATGACTGGCTTTTCACAAATATTAAAATGAAAATTATATATGTTATGTTAGAAAGTTATGCTGTATTGATTATCTTAAGTAGTGTGTTAAATATAGTTTTAGGTTATAACAAAATGTTAAAATAGAAACTATGCTGTGCAAGATACATTTTTCAAAGAGAGGACTTGCACTGAGACAGTAGCCACAGGACACTTGAATCTTTCAGAAAAAAGAATTTATTGCTCTGTTATCAGAAGAAATGAACTTCTTCCTGCTTTGCTCAGCTCTGAAGATGCTGTGAGGATTCAGAGGAAGAAGCTGACACTGCCTAGACAGAATCCTGTGTTGGAATGGAATTTATGCATCTGGGCTTATTTTGCCCAGAAAGAGGTACCTGGACTGTCTGTAACTCTTTGTTTTATTGTCTCATATTGTCCTAATCCAAATTGTCCAAATTATTATTACTCCAATTATATTGCTATTTTCATAACCATTTTATTATTTTTATTAAACTTTAAAAAATTTAAAAACAAGTGATTGGCGTTTTTCACAGGGTGATTGTGGAGGCCCATTAGTTTGTCCTTCAGGAGACAGCTCAGGGCTTTACACTCTCCATGGAATCCCTGGCTGGGGCTTGGCATGTGGAAGGAAGAGCTACCCAGGAGAATTCACCAATATTAGGGGGGTTTTTTTTTGACTGGGTGAAGAAGAATACTAATAGTAGTGGTATGTATGAAAAAAACCCAACAAAAACAACGATTAAATGAATCCTTTAGCTCTTGTTAGATTATTAATTTGAGGTCTTTTCCAGGGTGTCATTTTTATATTTGGGTGTCCAACACTCCCTGAGATCTTGGTTGTTTAAAATATCCCCAGCTGAATGCCCAAAAAAGAAACAAACTTAAATCAGCAGTAACTTCTGAAAATCTCATTTCTTCCAGTTGTATTATTATTATTATTATCCCACTCTCTACTGCATTTCATGTGTGGATGAATGTTTTCCCTGCTGTGGCTTTGCAGCTTCATTTCTCAGGGTTGGGAGGAAGAAGAGGAGCAGGAACTGACACTGGTGGCAGCTGAGTCCACTTTGACAAGTTTATAGCCTGTCTTCATTGATGGTCTTTGCAGAGTTTACCCTGTTTTATTCTGGTTTTTTTCAGAGCTCCCCATTTTCATTGTGTGACTGTAAAAAGAACAGCTCTGATGGATCCCACTGTAAAACATTCCCAAAGCACAAATATAATTGAAAACAAAATTTGGTGGGAGCATGCAGGTTTCTTGGACTGATGAACAGATTCCAGAGTAGCTGATACTTACTCTGGGGAATTTACTGCTGATTTACCTGGACTGAGACTCTGGCTTTCCACGTGTGTGTTGGAGCAGTCACGAGTTACCTGCAGCCTTCTGACACTCTGTTAATCCATTTTAGAAGGGAAAAGAGGGAAAATAAGCCACATGAGCCAAGCATGTTCTTGAATGTAGTGCTGGAGACTCTAAAAATACTGCAGCATGTTTTTAAGACAGTTTCTGGTTTTACAAATTGTTTGGTGTTTAAACAAAAGTGTTTGAAAAGACAGGTGTTACAGGCCAAGGGAGCATGCCAGAGCTGATAGCTATCCTAATTAATCTATGCATTAACTTGTAACTAGCCGTTTAATTAATGTCCAAAAGGCTGCTTATGCAGAAATCTATGGTTTGGACAGGCTCCAATTAGCTTTGCAGACCCTTCTGCTCTCAGCTGTAGTGTTTAAACTAGATTAGTAGGATAGTACAACAGGTGGTAAAAGAATAATCCTTCTTTGACTCAATGGTCCCGATAATAACTAGAAGGTAAGATATCTCACTTGGTTTTTGTTGATATTAATGGCAAAAATATTTAGAGAGTTTTTCCCATACAAGCATTTGATGACAGCAAACGTCCCTTTTTTATTTTGTTAGTTTTGAACTTTAGTTCTTTAGCTTTTATAAACTTTCAGTTTTATTCTGTAGCTGGGAAAACAATAATCTCACTGATTTTATTCTCCAATGAATAAGGTAAACATATTTCACCACTTTCTTCTCTTCACCGTAAAGTTTGAGGCAAAAGCCCACAAAATCTTGAGCATGAAGTTTTTTGTGAAGCTATGAAAATACTTAACAGTGGAAGGATTATGGGCAAATTGAGATTCAGTGACTCAGATTAACAGCTATGTTACATTATTGATAGAGTATGTGTGCTCTATCTTTGCTAAGCTCTCTGAAAAGATCTTTAGAGAGAAATAGAGGGAAAAGATCGTTTGTAAATTTTTATCATAGAAGCCTGTAAATGTTTGGTTGTGGTGGAAGTTGCCATTAGCTGACTGTATCAGTTTATGCTGGGAGCAGATGTGGATTATCTCTTGGCTGCTATTCTGTTTTGCTTGACAGGAACACAGTGACTTTCATCTGTTTATTATTTAAGACAAGGATTTCAAGTAGATGTGTTCAGAATAGCAAAAATTGTGTGGGAAGAACTACAGGTGATGTCAGCTGTGATGATATTGAATGCAGCGATAAATTGGTACCTCTTATGAAAATTCTTATCTTAAATTCTGTCTTAAAATGTCTGCTTTTGATTTGATTGTTATGGCACTAACTTTTTGCTTGGTGGCTTGTTGTTGGCCTTTTGTGTTTTTCCTAGTAAAAAAAAAAAAAACACAAACACATCTTAAAAAAATAATAAAAAATTACTTTCAACAGGGTTCATATTTCTTTCCTGCTCCTTGTCCCACTGTGGCTCTGCCCAAGAGAACAAAAAAAAACCCCATTCTCATTGGATCTTCCCTGAAGTGGCACGAGGGCAGGTTTATTTCTCATTTAGGAATCCCATTAATTGCCACGTGTTGGGTGCACAGAAATACTGCTATTTCTTATCTGAACTGACTAGCTTGACTTTGTTGCCCTCTGTGAAAAACGCCAATCACTTGTTTTTAAAATTTTAAAAGTTTAATAGTAATAAAATGGTTATAAAAATAGTAATACAATTAGAGTAATAACAATTTGGACAAATTGAATTAGGACAATATGAGACAATAAATACAAAGAGTTACAGACAGTCCAGGTACCTTTTTCTGGGCAGCATGAGCCCGAAAAAGCACCCACGTTAACAAAGGATTAACCCTTAAAAACAATAACCTGTTGCATATTCATACGCCTCATCCATGATGCATAAATTCCATTCAAACACAGGATTCTGTCTGGGCAGTGTCAGCTTCTTCCTCTGAATCCTGACGGTGTTGTCCTGGCTGAGCGAGGCAGGAAGAAGTTCATTTCTTCTGATAATGGAGCAATAAATTCTCTTTCTCTGAAAGATTCAGGTGTCCTGTGGCTGATATCTCCCTGCAAGTCCTCTCTTTAGAAAAAAGTATCTTACATAGCATAGTTTCTATTTTAACATTATGTTATAACCTAAAACTATATTTAACACAGTACTTAAGAGCCTTAATACAGCATTACTTTCTAAGACAACACATACAATATTCATTTAAATATTTACGAAAAGCCAATCATAAAACACATGCATTTTTCACACCCTCCTTTTCTATTTCTTGGTAGAAAGAACTGTGAAGCACTGGAACGGGCTGCCCGCGGGGTCCCTGTCCCCGGAGGTGTTTAAGGAAAGGCCGGACACGGCACTCGGTGCCACGGGCTGCTTGACACGGCGGTGTCCGGTCACACTTTGGCCTCGGCGATCCCAGAGCTCTTTCCCAATCTCATCGATTCTGTGACACCAAGAACGCAGCTCCCGGGGCAGCCTGACCCGCCCGGGCTGAGGGCGGAGCGGGGCTCCCCTCACCGCCCGGGACCGGGAGGAGCAACGGGGAGGAGGAACCGGGAGGAGGAACCCGAGGAAGGATCAGGAGGCGGAACCGGGAGGAGAAACCGGGAGGAGGAAGGCGAGGGAGGATCAGGAGGCGGAACCGGGAGGAGGAACCCGAGGAAGGATCAGGAGGCGGAATCTGAGCGGGCCCGGTGCCGCAGGAGCTGCGGGCGAGGCCGCCATGGAGGCATTTGCGGTAAGGGCTGGGCTGGGGAGAGCCGTGCCGTGCCCCTCAGGGCCGTGCCGTGCCCTTCAGGGCCGCCGTGCCCTCACCGCCTGCCCTTCTTCTCCTGCCAGGGAGCGCCTGTGGCCATCGCCGTGGCCGTGGTGGCGGCGTCGGCGCTGCTGCTGCTGCTGCTCCGAGGGACGGCGCGGAGGCCGAGCGGCCCCGTCACCCTGCAGGACCCGCTGGCCAAGTACCCGCTGCGGCTGCTGGACAAGGAGGTGCCCGGGGCTCTGGGGACGTGGGGCGTCGGGGCTCCGAGGGCAGTGGATGCGCTGGTCTGGGAGGCTCTTGGCCCTGGGCTACCCCAGGGATCGAATCCCCAGAGCAGGGCGCGGAGCCGTCCAAGGATGGCTGTGCCCCCCGCAGCCACGCTGTGGTGCCCCCAGGGTAGAGCAGGGTGTGTAAAAGCGTTTATGGCGTGCTGCGAGCTGCTGTTTCCCGCTGCTTTGCATGTTTGCATGCTGGCTGTGTTCCTCCCTCGGATCCTGGCCTGGGTGCACCGTGAGAAGCGAGCCCGGAGCTGCTGCACGGCTGTGTTGCCTGATCTTTGTCTGCAAACATGCAATGTGCTCACTGGCCCTGGGCACAGAGTTTCCTGGTTTTATCTATGTAAAGAGGCTGTAGGGATTGTGCAGGCAGGCAAAAGTCACTCCTTGTGGAAGTAAGGACTGCTTTTGAGACTCCTGGTTATTTCTACTTTGTTTTTCAAAGCTGTTTCTGTGTCCTTCCCCAGCATCTGGCTTGCATGCTAACAAAGAGCAGGCTTGCTGAAGCATATTGTGTTGAGTAGAGTTTGAAATTCAAAGTAGTGGTGATACTGACCTCATTCTAACCTCGGATTTTTTAGGAAATCAGTCACGATACTAAGAAATTCAGATTCGGGCTACCCTCAACGAATCATGTATTAGGATTACCTGTAGGTAAGTACTGTAAACAATTACTTGTATTTCTGGTTTCTCACAGTTCTTGGACTTCTGACTGTGAATTTAAGGCACAGCAAAGCAGAGAGTTGAAAGCTGCATCCAAATGCTGCTGTCTCAGAGAGAAATGTCAGGTTTCCTAGAGGGCTTGTATTTCTGACCTTTTGTGCGTGCTTTGTCCAGTTGTGTGGTGTAGGTCAGAAACGGAGCAGTCAGATGGAACTGAGCCTGATGGAATTTGTCACCAGTCAGGATATAAGCAGGGGTAGTAGTAAATGTCAAAGCTTTTTCATATTTCTTATTTGCATTTTAGTTCCATCTGGTCCCCTCAGTCTATTGGCAATTGCCCTCATGGTTTTGGCAAATACAGATACTTGTAAAGGAGAAAGGGGGCAACTCTGAAATATTCAGAGCCTTTCCTGTGCATGCACTTCCCTTTGAATTACACACATTTCCATGCACCTTTATCTGGAGTTCTGCAGCATGAATTTCAGCCTAGGATTGGCCTTCTTTCCTGTACCCTGGAACACTGATAGCACTGAACCTTGGACCTTGAATCAGTGAAAATCTGTGTGGGGGAAAATCTCTCTCTGATCTGCAGATGTGGCTCTGTTTGTTCTGCACTGGTTGGCAGTTCCCTGAGCTGCCTGGCAGGTGTCAGGGTCATCCCATTCCATGCTCTGAGCATGTCCTTGCATGCTGCCTGATTTTCTCCACACTCTCTTCTGGCTTGTGTGGAAAAGAGTAATGGAATCAACTAGACAAATGGTAAACCAGCTAAGATGTGCTCTGCAGTGCATGTGTTTATCCAGGTTCATTCTTAGGAATTTATGAATGAGATCCTGAAACTGCATTACTTCCTGGGAGATGCCTGCTCTGTGCTGAAAAAGGAGAAGAAACTGAATGTTTGGTGCAGCATTTGTATGGCAAAGATTTTCTCTGTCCTTGCATGTGTTGCACAAGCAGGTTACAATACCTGCCTGTCTCTCTTGTCCTCCAGGGGTGAAAAAGATAATCAGATTGTAATTCTTTCTCCCCAGGCCAGCATGTTTACCTTTCTGCAAAAATTGATGGGAATCTGGTGGTTCGAGCCTATACCCCCGTTTCCAGTGATGAGGCAAAAGGTTATGTTGATTTAATTATAAAGGTAAGTTTTGGTTTCCTTTATTAGAGATGAGTTGCTAACTGGAAGGAGGGTGAGCGCTTCATTTTAGTGAAATTGTTTTGATTTAGTAATCAAAATTCATTGTCTTTAATTCAAATTTTATTAAATTCCGTTTTCATCAAATCTCCTATTTTTCAAATAGGGTGACTGCATGGCAAACACCTCATTGCCCTTGAATAGTAAGTTGTGTCCTGTGTATCTGCTGTGTGGCACTGAGGGATGGCAGAGGAAGAGTAGAGGGAGGAGAGAATTGCTCCCCTGGCAATACTTTGGGAATTTCCCTAATATCTTTTACTAAGCAGTGCATGGATACTGATCTCTCTCCCTCTAGATGCCTGTGCTGCTGCTACTGCTTAATGCAAACAGCTCTAAGCAGAAAACAAGTCACACAAGGGAAATCCTTTAAGCCAGGGGATGCAGGATTATCTGATCCCAGCACTTCTGGATTTCCTAATTCTCTTCTATGATAGCATTTGTCCTTAGGCAAAAATCCAGGCTTTTTTAAAATATTTTTTTGCATGTTCTGTTCTCCGTGTTACAAGGGTGGTGAATTGTTATGAGCTGCTTAATGCTTCTTACACGCTTTGAAAGCTGAAAGAGCTGTTGTATGGCTTGTTGTGTGGCTGACTAGGAAAGGTTTAGGAGGAAAAGATGCAGCAGTGCTGTTTTCAGAAGGAGCACCCACAAAAATGGGGTGGCGTAATAGTGAAATGAGAGCAGCAGTGCATAATGTGCCTGCCACCCATCCCTGTTACCCTGCCTGATTGCAGGGAGCAGAGGGACATTTGCCCAATAGCACATTTTCCTTTTTTTGGTGCCTCCTGTTGCAAAGCTCAAGAGATAACTGAGAGCAAAGAATTGCCTGGATTTATTTCTCAGGTGTTGAATTTCAGACCTGCAGAATTATGTTCTACAGATACTGTCTGCAGCAAAGGTAGTGGTTGATAATGTGCAAATAATTGTTCTTACAGGTCTACCACAAAAATGTGAACCCCAAGTTTCCAGAAGGTGGGAAGATGTCCCAGTATCTAGATAACATGAAGATTGGAGATACCATTGATTTCAGAGGGCCAAATGGACTCCTGGTCTATAAGGGGACAGGTACTGTGACACAAAGGTGGGAGAGCAAAAGAGAGGTATTGGCTATTTTCAGAAGTGTTTTATAAAACAGCTGTAGAGAATATTTTTTTAAGTGGAAAAGAGGAAAAATCACCTTTCCTAGACTTGACCATGAGCCTGTGAGAGAGAGAGTTGGTATGATGGGAAATAGTACTTTGTGTGCAGAATAACTGATGAGTGTCTCACTCCTGGGACTATAAATCTGAAAAAAATTGCTCTTGCATTATGTGACTGAGAAGTCTGCACTGGAAATAAAATACTTCAGCTATACATATGGAGGGAGATGCTCCAGATGCTTCTTAAGCAAGTGGGGTTGTGGCCTAAAATGTCCTCTGAGGATCTCTGTGCTGTTACTGAATAACCAGCTGACTGAGAGCCAGCTCCATTTCATAATTAAAATCAGGTCTGAATTGACTGTGAGGAAATAAGCTCAGAGAAGTAATCCTCTTGTAGGACACACGTGAAAGATTTTGCACAGATCTTGACTGAGAGGAGCTGTGCACTTCAGTCTCACCTCAGAATGCTCAGCACTTCTCTGACCTCTCTCCTGGTGACTCTATCTCAGCAGAAGGGAGGGATTTCCAGAATAATTTTTTTTTCTTAATTAATCACCTGTGTTAATTTATTCCCATGGAATTTGTGTCCATGTTTGTTTGGAAGCTTATGTACCTATAGGTTTGGAATATGTCTTCTAGGTACCTTTCTTATCAAGCCTAATAAGAAGTCTGAAGCAGAGAAGAAGTTTGCAAAGCACCTTGGGATGATAGCTGGAGGAACAGGTAAAACTAATTCCATCATGTGGGGTGTCTAGAGAATGAAAATGTCTTTTAGGTATATGTGAGGACTACCAGAGTATTTACACCTGCATTTCTTGTCATTAATTTCTTTTCATGGTGGCAACTCTGAGGCATTCCAGTGGTTTGAGCTCAGTCCTGGGGAGTGGCAACCTGGGGGTTTGAATCCTAATTTACCTTGTGACCTCAGAGAACTCACTTCATCAGTGACAAAAAGAATTTTAAGAGAATGTCTTGAGGGGTAAAATTATGTGATGGAGAATCCTGAAGAGAACAGCACTGCATACAAGAATTCTGGGCTTGTGCTGGAACTGTTTGTCAGAATAGAAACCCCAATCCCTGCACTCCATGTGGATCAGAAATCCTCAGGTGTGTAACCTTGTGCAGACTGACATCCCATTGAAGACTGAAAAGAGGCAGCAATAACAGTGAAACTGTGGCCATGGACAGAAATACCCACTTTAACCATTTTGGTTTTTAACAGGAATAACTCCTATGTTGCAGCTGATCCGTCAGATCACAAATGATCCTAAGGACTCCACAAAATGTTACCTCCTTTTTGCTAATCAGGTGAGTGTCCTGAGCCATCTGTTTGTTCTTCTTTAGTAGCCTACTTGGTTTTGCTGGCCTCTGAGCTTTTTAAACTGATGGCCCATGTTTCATACTCCTTCACACTGAGCTGTCTCCTCACAGTTTCACTGAATTCCTACATTAGGGAGTAAATACAGCAACCAGATCCTGATCCCTCTGCTCACCTTAGTCCTTCACTGATTTCAAGGAAACAGGATTTGTTTCCACTAATGTTTTTGTACAGCTAACCTTCACCATGCTGGCCCAGGGACATTTGCCAGGGTCAGGAACAAATCCAGCTCGTGATTTTAGCCTGGATTAAAAAGTCCTTCTAATTGCCATCTTTAGGACTGTGTTTAGGTGGCTGTAAGTCTCACATTTGTTGTTCTTTACAGAAGCCTGTATTCATGATAGCTGCCATGGAGGGGACAAAATACCAATTACTTTATTGATTTACATAGTTTTTATCATTGCATTTGTTGTGAGCTCCCAGCAGAGGGCTCCTGGGATGGTTTGGACCTAACCGGCACTCTCATTTTGCAGACAGAAAACGATATCTTGCTGAGAGCTGAGCTGGAAGACATTGCCAAGAGGCATCCTGAGCAGTTTGTGCTGTGGTACACCCTGGACAGACCTCCAAAAGGTAGGGACACATGGACATGCCTTTGCTTATCCCTGTCAGAGCTCCACTCGTGCTCAGGGGGACAGCAGAGCAATGTCAAGTGTTCTTGTCTTACACTTGGAAACAAACCTTACCCCACACCCTGTTTTAAAAAGGGATCTAAACCAGGGACTTAAAAAGTAGGAGCTCATAATTTGGGTCAGATGTGTTACTCAGTGCATCTTTTCATGTATTCAGTTTCTAGGGGTTTTCATCAAAAGTTCAGCTCTGTTTTGGGCTATCTCCCAAATGAGGTTATGTTAGCATGCTGTTGGCACTAAATTGTTTAATACCTGTAAATATTATGTGCACATCTTTGTTTTGCAGCAGCTCCAGATTAGATTCTGGTGAAAGAGCTGCCATGTGTATGGATTAAAGCAAGTTTCCTTCTTGCCTCACTTCAAATGGCAAATGCATTCAATAATACTACTGCTTGAAACAGTTTAGCATTTCCTCTTTTAATTTGTTTTCTCTTATCACTAAATGACATGGCAGAGCTCTTGGTGACATTAAACTTTGTCACCTCACCACTCCATCCCAAAAACATAAAAAAAGGACAGGTCTCAATTCCTCTCCCTGCCACTGGGTGACCCCTCTTCACTGGAAAAGCTGATTCACTCTTCTTTTTTATTCCTACCTGCTCATTTCTTTTAAATTTTATAATTTATTGTTTCAAGACCTCCGTATCTTATCAATCAAATCCTTGTTATCCTGTGGAAGGGGATCACTAGGTTTGAGCTGAGTGAGAGATTTAACCCTTTCCTGGCTTGCAGTGACGGTGCCATAACTTGATTCTGCAGCTGCTTAATGAGGTTTAAAGAGGTTTCAGCCTGCACAGAGATTCGGAGTGACTGAATTCATTTCTTTGTTGCAGACTGGAAGTACAGCTCTGGCTTTGTCACTGCAGACATGCTGAAAGCCCACCTGCCTCCCCCTGGCAGTGAGACCCTCATTCTCATGTGTGGGCCCCCACCAATGATTCAGTTTGCCTGTCAGCCCAACCTGGACAAGCTGGGCTATCCCAAGAGCAGCACATTTGCTTACTGACACTGATGGCACCTGGTACCATTTTTGGAAGTACTGCATCTTTTTCTACAGGAACAGTTGATGTGCAACTGTGCAGCAATTGTGTGTGTGTGTGTTTTTTAACACCTTGATATAATTTTTATGGTTTATAACTTCATAATTACATTGTGTGTTTTAATACTAAGAAGTTGTGAAGTCATCTGGAATTGTATGGGAGTTACTTAGTCTTACCTCTGGAATTAGTATAAAATATTAATTCTGAGGGGGAAAAAAATAAAGAGGAAATGTCATCCACATGGATTTGTGTTAAATCATTCCACAGTCAGCAAAAGAGAGGGGAACATTCAGAATTTATTCATAACAGTCAAAAAATAAGCATTTATACCAGTGTTATGCTAATTAGGATTTCTTACTACATATATTTAAAAGAAGAATCAACTGTTTTGTGGATTGACTATTCACATCCAAGTTAGCACAACAACACACTGAGTTGCAAATACAGCATTGAAAGAAAATAGGAAGTGTTGTGTTTGGAATATCCCAGGGCAGCTGGAGCAGCCAATCCCATTTGCAGTGCTGTAATAAGTCTGTTGGCTAATTCACCTGACAAAGTATTTTAAATGACCATGGTACCTGAGCTGCTCACTAGCACTGACTGCATTGCCAGACTGGTACATTTCATAGCTTTTATTAAACATCAGTCATTTAAAAAACATCAGTAATTTGAAAGATTTAAAGACTTACTTCTCATTTTTCTGAATATTCCTTTTTTTCACTTGGCAGTGATTGAAAAGAATTTGCCTTGATTTTACCCCTGTGGACAATCAAATCGTGTTTATCTTCTTCCACCTGACCATACAGTGCAAGGTGTGCCATGAGAGGCTGGTGAAGTGAGGACCAGGGTGGCTCACGTGTAAAAACCACCCCAGGTGGTTCTCAGAGAGCCCTTGCTGCATCCTGTGGCCAGCCCTGGAGCTTACAATTCAGGAGATTTTTTTCCTGGCATTTATCTGTTTACTAAGAGAGCTTGTTAATGGCTCATTAATACAGGAGATGTACATGCAAACAAATGCCACAAGTAATTGGTGCTGTAGAGGGGACAATTTCACCCTGGGCCCCTCAGAAAGTGAGAGGCCATACTTCCCTCTGATGCAGTCTTGTCTAGCCCAGTACAGCAGTAAAAGATTTATTTTGTCAGGTGTTTTAAAGAAATAAATCTTTGTTTTGTTCTGGTAATTTCCTGGTAGTCTCAGAGTTACAATTTCCTGCTGCAGTTGTTTTTGCCTTAGGTAAAGATTTGTGAACAAGGCAGCTTGTCATCCTAATAAAAGCAAGGGCTGGATGCACAGCACTATGTTCCATTCTTCCCATCCTGCAGTGCACTGACTTGGATAAAGAGAGGGCAGGACAGGTGCCAGTGAAAGGGAGAGATTGAAATCCTTTCTGGTGACCAGTCTGGCACAACCACAGAAGTGGTGAGTGAGCCATTGCTGCTGCTCTCACCAACATTCAGCTCTGATTAACCCCAGTGGTACAATTATGTGTTAATGATTCCTGCACTACAAGTTAATTAGAAAAATAAAAAATTACAAAAGGTCTTTCACGTAACAGTACATCACCATAGCATGTAAAAGTCAAGTGAATGAAAGGACGAAGCATTGCCAAGTCTTGGCTTTCCAGACTCTGGATCTGAGTCCCCCTCCTCTCCCAACTCCTGTTTCCTGTTACATGATGTGGGAAAACAGCACAGAGGAGAGTTACCTGTAAGCTGTGGCTACACTGACAGTAGGAAGTGCTAGGTGGGAGGTGGCAGTGGCAGAAAAAGGCAAAGCTTTCCTGCTCCACGGCATCCAGCTGCTCCTGGCCACTCCTGCAGGCGTGAGGTACCAGCTGTGATCTTGGTCCTGCTGAAGCATCATCTCCAGTCTTCAAAGGTGGGTGTTAAAAACCTGCTGTCATTCAGCATTTCATCCTGGCTCAGCAACGTCTGAAAGAGCAAGATGGGAAGGACTGAGGGGGTTTGATGAGAGGCCTGTGCTCCCAGAGACCCAGCTGCAGAGAGCTCGGGCTCACAACACCGGAGGTGAGAGCCACACACAATCAAAAGGAATTTCTTCAATACAACTTTAAATTTTTTTGTGTGGGGAAACTTGTAGAGATTATGTGTCTGGCATGCAACTCAACTATATTTCATAATTCTTCATTATGTCTTCCAGTCACTTATTTTTTTTTTTAATACATTGGCTTCTGTGGAATGAAGAAGCAGAAGTGAGGTGTTTGGTTTTGCACAGAATTTTAGCTCATGTAAATTTTCAAAAGTCTGTACCTCGTTCCTAGCTGCTGTGATTGAGGTGGTGCTTACCTGTAAAATCTTTGAAGAATCGTTTTCATGTAAGGGGATGAATATCTGTCATTTTGTCAGAGACATCAGAGTTCATGAAAACTTAGAGGCCTAAATAAAGCTTAATTTCTAGAGCAATTTAAAAGCAGGGATTTTTTTTTTTTACTGAATGTGCCACCAGACTGCAAAGAGATACTTAACAAGAACAGAGACCCACTTACTGTTCATTACCACCAGCAAAGACAAACTTTCAGTGACTTTTAGCAGAGCACAAGGGTGACTTTGGAGCAAGAGAGGAACTGGTACTCACCGTGAGGTGGGTTATGCCTTGGGAAAGAGCCCCTATTTGCATTACTGTGCCTTCTGAGTGTTCCATCTGTAAAAGCAGTCAGCAACTAGTTCAAATCAGACAGCATGTGCAATTTTATTCACTCTACATGCAGCTTTGGGAGGGATCTGTGCCTGGACAAATGAAGTTGGGGTAAGTTGAATAGCTCTTTAACAAAAATGCCTCTCTGCTACAAGGTATGTGAAAATGCATTTAATGATAGGAAGACTGGATGCTGATTAAGAGACATTGATTCCATTAAACTTGTCCTCTAATTCACAGAAAAAAGAAAAAGCTTAACTGATACTATCAGTGAAAAATAATTTCTGAATGGTCTGACACTACTTGTTTCTGGTAGGCTTTCACAGGCAAGAAGTCCTTGATACAATCCCACCTCTTTTTTTCATAGGAATGTCACCAGTTCTAGGGCATTGTGATTTCCTGCTCAGAAATCATGTTTAATAGACAGAGCATGCTCCTAGAGAAAAATCCAGGCTTTCTGTCACACTTGAACAACTGCACAGTGCAATTCTTGGCTCAAAGTTAATGCATTCCCTCACAACCCCTAGCTGAGCAAGTGGACATCCACACTCATAGTCAGGGTATGGGATTCTCCTGTTTAGAAGCAGTACATGGAAAAAGACCCCGGTTAGTCAGTGAACACAAATGGGATGTTAGATGCACTGAACCATGCAAATGAAAAGATTACCTGCACAGTTAGTCTTTTCAAGGTTGTGACCATTCTCTTATTAGGCTTAAACTGTTTCTATGTCACTGGAGAAAGGCCAGTTTACTCCAGCTGCCTCTGTGTGGCTCTTGTGTGTTGCTGAAGTTCACACAAGGCTCCAGGAGCGCTCCGTTTTTCAGGGTTTACATCCCTTTACACAACAGCAAAGTTGAAATAAAATTTGATGGGTTTTATCATCATTTCTTTGTATGATGTCTAGACAGTTTCATTCACAAGTTCACTACTACATTACAAAAGTGAATTAACTATTGGTTTATTTGTTCATTGCTGATGCATTGTCTTCATGTATATTATCTAAGCAGAACTACTCCCCACTGTACACCATGAAAGAAAAATTCAGTTGGATTCTCTGATTACTGTCTGTTAAAAAATACAATCCAGTTGTACTTTAATATAACTCAATAGCTTTGTACAAGTTTGTCCAAATGAATTTATTACATTAAAAACCACCCATAAAGATAATGAAAATAAAATAGCGTGCCATACTAAAATTATGAAAGCTAGAAGTACAAAAGTCTTATGTTTCCTGCAAGCACACCCTTGATTGACAAAATACCTCGATCTTCAGAGTGTAAAGGTGTCATAGTCCTGAAAAAGGGCTTGAGGGTGGATGAGCTTATTATGATGTTGATTAAAAAAACCCCAACATTCTTAGTCTGGAACTCTTTCCAGTGTCCACAGCCAATACTTTTCTCTGTGAGTTCATGCGGATGTAGCAAAGAGTTTGTTATAGGGGAACATTTGGTTATTTGCAAGCTTTGGAATGCATGGAGAGGATGAGATGAGCATGGCATCAGTCTGTCTGTCCCACCTGATCCAGTTCCCTGTCAGTGAAAGGACTAAGTCCTTTGTAGCCACCGTAGTTTTTCGAAGTACCATTTGTAGCAGCTGAGCTTGTATCCAAAGGACAAATGTAGTCTGTTGATTCGTCAAACTTCTTTTTCCTTAAGTTTCCAAAATGCGAAAATCCAAGTTTCTTTGGCTAAAATAAGGAGTCAACAAAGTAGTTTGAGTAAAACAAGTAAAGTTGTTCTGTAAACATTTTAAATCCTCCCCTTTTTCAATTACTGCTATACCCTGCTCATTCAAGAATGTAGATTCTGAATTAACTACATTTGTTCTCAAATTGGAGTTCCAGTGGATATTAAATGCATTTGCATGATGCTCCTTCTAAGGAAAGGCAGAACAGATTGCTTGGTTGTTTTCAGGACCTGACTGAAACAGATACATAGCAAATGTCTGGCATCTAAAATTAAGGGAAATGTAGCACTCCTAGAATTCACCTCTCCCTACCCACCTTTGTTCCTTACTTTCTTTGTAATTCAGAGTGGAGCAGTCTGACAGGGACATCTCCTTTTTGACAGCAGTACCTACCCGAACTTTGGCAGTGGTGGTCAGAGGTGAGTATGCCGCTGACTCCATGGTTTCTCTTTTTTCTTGCTGTGCCTCTGGCCCAATTAACACGTTAAAGTTGGTGGTGAGGTGGCGCCGCAGGAGGGTCTTTTGGGGTGGGATGTTCAGGAGCATGGCCAGCGTGTCACCGTTGAAGCGAGGTTCCAGGATCTGGAAAAAGGGCAGCATGTTTACTTTTTATATAAATATTTGCAATAAAAAACCACTACAGTGCTTAGCAGGGGATTTCTCACTAAGTACCTGCTCACATTAGACCTTTTATAGCTCACTCATGATGCTGGGGTTTGAATGGGAAATACCTGAAAGGAGCCAAGAAAAAAATGCTGAGCGTGATCAGGCATATATGTGTTTATATTTATTATCAAAGCCATCAACATGTGTTTATATTTATTATCAAACCCATCAATATGTGTTTATATTTATCACCAAACCATACATTTGTTTGGGTTGAACATGTTTCCTTTCAGAATTTTCTGCTCTGCTCAGGGTAAAAACTTAATCTTAGTAGGATTCCTACCATTGCATTTTTGCAAAAATTCTACAGTAATACAATAAATAAAATTCTACAGTAATACAAAAAATAAAATTCTACAGCAGTAGAATCATGGTATTTCAGAACCCTGACATTACTCTGGTATTTCAGAACCCTGACATTACTCAGCTGCAAATAGTTCTGAATGCTTTGAATTAAAAAAATGTCATTTCTGACTGCTGTGATTTCAGGGTGGTTCAGAGTTCTGGTAAATCACTCAAAGAAACACTCAGGGATGCTTTATCAAAAAGCAACTTTTGCACAGCGCAGTTGAGGTTTCCTTTTCTGTGCTGCTGTCACACACTTGTGCAGAGCTCAGCTTTGATTACAGAAAGTGTTTTAGCTGCTCCTTTTTTATTTTAGCTTTCCTTTGTGGAATGAAGATAGGTGGATCAGACAAAGAGGCTCCTTAGAAGGCCTGATCACACTGCCACATTGCAGATGTGCCTGCTTCTTTCAGCTTGATGAACATCACACAAAGGATGGTTTATATTACAGCCTGAATTTTCAACATTAACAGTCAATTTTTTAGTAGTGAAATAGTAAATTCTTACGATCAGGCCCCCGTGCACTCCGCTGCCCCGAAGGTTGGGTGCATATTCTGCCAGATCCACTGATCTGAGCCATTCCATCACCCTGTGGTTGGACCACTGCACCACGTCGGAAGGAGAGACGTTGTTCTGTGGGAGGAACCACAAAAGGTGATGACACCACAGCCTGCACTGATTGTGCACAGCTAAAAACAGCCTCCCTCCTCTTCCTGAAGGGCACTGTTTTTCCCTGGCTGAGGGATTGTTTCTCTCCAGGCCCCTTTCAAGCAGTCTCTGATGAGATGGCAGACCTGGTCTCATACTGGTGAAACCCCCATGTGTTGCATCAGGGAGTACAACAGCAGGGATTGCAGATTACAGGGATAAAAAGGGAATGTTTGACAACAGGAAGTACAACAGCAGAGACTGCAGATTACAGGGATAAAAGGGGAATGTTTGACAACAGGGTTATTGACAGTGTTTAATGCTAATAAAAAACCGTGCTGATCGAGTGAAACCTTACAGATTTTAAAAATTAGGTCAGGTGAAGACAAATCATTCCAAATTATTCTCTTGGAAGATGAATTAACTTTTTTCCCACTATGCAAGTAACTTCTGAAGATAAACACATGAGGTTCAACTAATAAGTGGCATAACTGCTGCTTTAGGTGCAAGTCCCTAGAAACAACAATTCTGTTGTATCACTGTACACTGCTGACTTTCTATCCCTTTTGGCTGGGTCCAGGTAATTTGTACTTGCTTAAATTAATTTATTTCAATATTCTTTTACCTCCTCAACTGGCCTCCTGCGCAGACAGTGGGGATTGAAGCTGTTGACGTGCAGCACGTGAATGGCACATTTAATACTCAGGTGATGCAGCTGACTGGTGACTTTCAGGAAGAGAAGGTCATTCTGTGAAGGAGAATGCCACCACATTTAGGTGCCACAGAACACACACCAAAAACAAATATTCTCGCCAAGAAGAAAGAGTTTAAATTTGCTGTGCAGCTTTATATAACACTGCAGTAACTGTGGTTTAGGGAAGATGGAAGTTTATACTTTAAAGAAGGTTTGGGTTTTGTTAGGGTTGAAGTTTGGAGGGGGTTCTGTTGTTGGTTTTTGTTTTTTTTTTTTAAATTGCACCCCAGCAAGACCTGGCTAAAAATGAAGGTAGAAGTGTAGCATGTTAAGGCAAATCCAGGCCTTAATTATCCAGATTTGGGCAGGAGAATGGGAAGAAAACAGTGGCTGTGTGTGGCTCATGGTGTGCTGTGAATGTGGTCAGGGCTGTACAGATCACTGGATTTTCTGCTATTACTTTGCTGAATACTGTTGCCAATTTGGTGTTGAGAACAACGAGCTCCAGAGGTTACACATAAAACAGGTAATTTTAATTGTGGTGGGCTACATGACATTGAAAGAAGGCCTTTGCAGAAGTTAGCCCTAACATGTGACTTTTTTAATGGACCTTAGGAACAAATTCCATGCACTGAGCAGCACAAAGGAGATTGCTGGCACTGTCTCTGTCTTGTAAAAAAATTTTAACTGCTCACATTCAAAGGAAAAATTTAAAGGTTTTTGCTTATTCAGAAAACTGAGGAAAAGGGACTGTACTTACCACAGTTAAGTACTGCAACATCCTCCCATCTACTCTGGATTCATGAAACTGGTCTTTGTACTGAGGCAAGCCAATGTCATCAAGCCACCCTGCAGATATGAGAGCAATGGGGAACCAAATCCAGATTGGTGAGGATAAAACCCTTCTCCCCTCTTGCCTGGCATCTTTTGAGGCATTCAGGTGGCTCAAGCTACCTGTTCCCTTTCCTGAGGGAAGCCTCAAAGCAATTCCCACCAACCAGCTTTGCCCACAGCAGCAGCCCTGTGATATTTGATTTTACAACACCTGATGGAGCACATCTTCTGCAGCACAGTGGAGCCCTTCCCAGCCTGAGCCCACCCATTTGATTTCCTGATGTCTGACAGGGCTGCCCATGGAAGAACACACCACAAGCTGGACGTTTGGATGTCAAGAACAACACAAAAATCTTCAATTCTTCTATGGGGAAACTTGGTGCTTTTTAAAAGGTGCTTGGTAAGTGTTTAAACATGAATCAGGCTGCCCTGTCATAGGGCAGAGGTGGGAGAAATTCCTTCCCAACCAAATCTGGGAGAGTCCAAACACTTACGTGTCACCCAGATATGATCAAGTTGTGCAGACTTCTCATCTTGCTTTGCATTTATAGCTTTAATGGCCAAAACCAATTTCTTCCTGTGCAGTGGATGCTTTATTCCCATTTCCTGGAACAAAAAAAAAACCATTAACAAAAAGTTTGCCCTGCCTCTGGCTCCTCTCCTCACGTGAGGTAACTCTGAAAATTGAGACTGTGGATTTCAGAAAGGTAGAGCCAATGGTTTGGAGGGGCCTGGTGGGACAGAACCAGCAGTGATTACCTTTTCCATGTCCTGAGGAGTGGCAGTTAACAGCGTGTGGCCTGATGTCACCCACTGCCGGGCAAAAATCACGTACTGGCCCAGGCCAAAGTCCTCCAGCCAGTTACAGACTCTTTCAGTGCTCCACTGAGCAAAGGGGGCATTGTGGTCGCTGAAAAGCACAAGAAACATTGGGAAAACCTTAAAGGAAAGAAGGAATGTCCATATTGGAAAGCTCAGGGTGTGCCAGGGGCAGCACAGCAGCGGATCTGTTGGTGTGCTGTGTTCTGAGGCGTCCTGGGAATTTTTGCAGCCCAGCCACAACCTGTGAACAGCTGCAGGGCAAATAAGAATTTTCCATCTTCTGCTTGGAAAGAGGGAAAAGAGGATTGCTGAATCCTCATCGTTATGCAGACGAGGAGGTAATTATTATCCTTGCTCTTTAACAAGGTGAAATTTCTGATGCTCCACCAAGCAGCTGCACCTTGCAGCTGGAGGGGCGCAGGCTTGAGGGGATGGATTTTTGCTACCAGGAAAAATTCTTTCCAGCTGTTGTGGAATTCCACGTGGACCGAAACGCTTGGGCAAAGCCCCCAAGAGGAGGGATTGGCTGTTGGGCACATGGAACAGCAGCAGGGAGGGGAGGAGGAGCTGTTACCTCTTCTGGCCTTTGGTGTCCTTGGATCGGGATAAGCGTGGTCCAGCTGTTGCCCGCAGACCTCCCCTCCGGAACTCTGCCAGCCCCAGGTCGTCTGCAGGGAAGTTACCTGACTGAGTCCTTCGAATTCTTGCAAGACAAGAGCGCCACGACAGGACTGTTAGCTGCTGACAGAGGATTTGTTTGTTCTGCATGGAAACTACAGGGACAGCTGACAGCTCAGGGGGTCTCCCTGGGAACCGCAATTGCCAGATTCCAGAGGCAGCTGAAGGAGTTCTAGGAAATTCAGTCTGGAGCTAACTCTGGGGGAAAATAAAGGAGCTCCACAGAGCACTTTGATCCAATTAATAATGCAGACTTGCAAATGGCTGCTGTTGCTGAAGCAGATCAAACAGACACAGTGCTCCTTCTGTTCTGTTTCCCCCCTTTTCTTTACCTAGTGTCATTCATAATAAGAAAATTGCTACAATTTAATTTTTCATGGCTAATAAAACTGCTGGCATGCTAAATTAATAGCATTAAGATGACAGCAGTGCCTTATTTCTTTCACCAGCACAATGCTGTGAACACTCCCAACATTTTTTCCACCCCCTGTGTACAAAAGGACACGCCTGTGCAATCCCAGAGCTGTTTTTGCTCCCCAAATTTTAGTTTATTCTTGCTATAGATAATTGTAGATAATTCTCAGCTGAAATGCTTTGACAGTGAATAATAATAATAATAATAATAAAAAGACCTTACTTTCCCCAGATTTTCTTGATCCCTTTTGGACTCTTTCTGTTTTCTGGAGCCCATGGAGATTGTGGACCTGAATCTGTTCCCGAAGGTGAGAGGTCATCCGAGACCACTGTACCATCCATGTTCTCTGTTTCCCCTGGGTAAAGAACAGCATTATAGTCACATTTTATACTCATTATTGATAAAGCTGTTGTCTGGGAGGCTGATGTTTAAATGCAGGACATGACACAAAAGTAGAGATACCTATAAAATCATTATTTTTTTAAAAAAGCCAAACATGCTCAGAAGGTGAAAAAACAGCTGGACATTTGATTAAAATTAAAAAAAAATAATAAAACATTGGGTTGAATAATTCTGTTATTTCAGTCTTTTCTATTTAATTATGTTATTTAAATTAATTTAAAGTCTTCCTGCCTACTCTTAATACCTCAGCTCCTCCCTCAAAATCAGTGGGAATTTTTCTAAATTCACTAAAAACAGAATGAAACCAGGAATAAGGACCATCAAAAGAAACCCCATGTGAACGCCACACAGCAGGAGCTATTACTTCATTTCAGTACTGCATGTAAGGAGTTCAGTCTAGAGGGCCCAGCTGGGATTAGTATTTCACAGGGAAAGGGAGAGGGAAAGGAAAAAAACCAAAGTAAGCAGCAAACGGAGTGTTGAAGTTGCATCTTGTTTGGGTACAGTACCTAGCACGGGTGCACTGACACTCCTGCCGCGATCTTCAGTCATCCCAAGAAGCAGAAAGCCAGATGGAGAAGCAAAGAAGATACAAAACACCAGCAAAATAAAGTTACAGGAGGGAAAAGTAGTTAAGCTAAGCATTTAGAGCAGAAACAAAAAGCAAAAGAAGCAGTTATATATGGAAGTGAATATGCATTGGTGTGCACAAGCCCCAGGAACTCTGTACAGATCATCTGAAACAGGTAGGGATGGAAATGGATCTGTTTGGGCTTTCCTAACTATTCTTGGAAAGTTTCAACTCTTTAAGCAAAGTCTACAGAGCTCTACAAAGCTGCAGAGTATCTGAAATGAAGGAGTGGCTGAGATTGCATCAAAAATTGCTCTGAAATACAGAATTGGAGGTGGAATGAATTCACTGCACATGCAAGAAACAAACCAGCCCGCAGAAAAAAATTCTCTTAACTTGGTGTGTTTAAGAAGCCATTGCTTGTTTCCAGAAAAAGAACATTTTCTTTTACAAGCTCACCCACCCTTGGATAATCCTGCAGTTAAAGACACTTCAGCATGGCTCATGCGTCGCCTGCAAAGTTGCCCTTTAAAACCCCCTAAACAACCAAAACCTATTGCAACCTTGAAACTGCAGTGTGCAGCAGCTTTAGGGACCACGAGCCCTTAAAATTTACCAACCCCCACCGAAGAAAAAAACCACTACAGGCAAACAAAAAAACCCTGCTGTAACTTTTAAAGTGCAGGAAGACTTCAGAATCACAAGGGTTAGTCTTGTGCTCCTTCAGTCCTAAAAATACCTGGTGCTGTGCCTCGCTCTTAACACCTTTCTGTCAACAAATCTGTGCTTAAGGTGCCACTGAAAAGAAATTAATTCAGGATTCCACAGGGCTGTGACATGGAAATATATTTGTAATTCCAGAGTCCACAGATGTTTTTCTGCGTGTAGTAAATTAAATTTTCACTAGTGGATCCCCCACAGCTAAGCAACCAACAGTGCTGATAGAGAGATTTTTACCCAAAATTTTCATGTTTTTGATGGTTGTACTATGAAGTTTCAAGTGGTATTGTCAGGTGCAACAGAAAAAAAACCACCCTCGAAATTAAATCCATCCCTCATTCTGCCATGAGTTATGGAAGAAGGGAAAGGGAAAGAAAGGGGAGAGGAGAG